TGGTAGAGTCCTGAGTTGAGCCCCTGGCCCACACCAAGAGAAAAAAGAATGAGCTATATTGCTTTTTCAATCTTGTTTGTTGTTCTAAAAGAGAAATAGTAAAAATATGGATGCTTTCATTCAAATTTTTATACCTTGATTTCTGTGCAGCTCTATTAGTTTATACAACTTTTAAGCACATTTTTTTTCTAGCTATTTTACATAACTTCCAAGATTTTTACTTTTAAAAATTCAAATTTGGGGCTGGCCAAGTGGCTCAGTTGGTTAAGAGTTTGCTTAAGAGCATGAGCTCTGAGCAATAGGGCTGCCGGTTCGATTCCCACATGGGCCAGTGACGCTGCGCCTGAGCTGAGCTGCTGCTGAGCTGCCAACAGGTGGCAGGATGACTCAGCTGGTGAAAGCACATACTCCTAACAACAAGGCTGCCTGTTTGAAGGTGGGCTATGTCCGCTCGCAACTAAGACTGAACTCGGCACATTGAGTTGAGCTGCCACCCGGATGGCTCAGTGGATAGAGCATGGGCTCTTAATAACAAGGCTGCTGGTTCCACTCCCACATGGGATGGTGTCTACATCCACCCACAACTAAGATTGTAACACAGCACCTTGATCTTAGAGGCCACAGGCTGCTGAAGGGCAGCCAGATGGTGACATGCGCCCTCCACAACTAAGATTGAAGAACAACAATTTGGCTGGTCCCTTTCTCCAATTCCCCAACACTGTTCTCCTCCCCCAATTCCCCAATTTAAAAAAAAATCAAATTTGATTGTCAGACTTACTTAATCATGTTTACACTTTTCCCAGTTGTATACTTCTTTTATAATTAAGCAGCTTTTTAAAAATTTTTATTTCTTAAAATTTTTTATTGTTAGTTTCAGGTGTACAGAACAATGCAATAGTTATCCTTTTCACTCTCACAAAGTAACAACCCCCCTCCCCCATGTATTGCCCTCCCACCCCCAATATCATGCTTATCTATTACAATTCCATTGATTCCATTCCCACTCTCTACTCCATGTCCCGAGACTATATGTAT